ATCGCGTCTTGCTCTTGAGCCAGTGTTCCCATTATAACATATTACAATAACCGATGGAATCTTTATTTTTCCTCTTTCGTCAGGTGTCGAAAACCTGGCGGGTTTGGCCCTCCGCGATCCTGTGCATTGTGAGGTCGCCGAACAGTCATCATCGCAGTCCGGCACCCTGAAAACTGACTCTTCTGGTCAAGAGTCTGTTACAGCCCCTCATGCAGCCTTCGCGATGCCCACTGGCCTCAAACACTTTTTAATTGTTTGTCCAAACAAACTTCGTCTCGTCGTTCTGACCGCCTTTCTTCTCCTCAAAGCTCGGGTTGGTGTTTTTCACTGTACTTTTTAATGTAACTCCTTTCCACAAGCGTTACCCCACTTTTGAACAGTAAATATGCTATTTATTTTTCCCGAAGTAGAACCAAACCATTACTGCTTTTGCAGAGCCACTTTTCAAACGTGATGAATGTCTCTTTTTCCATCATCTTTATCTTAAACCAAGTTACAGTACTCATCTACCTACAGTATAATCCCAAGGTATTTCCTACAAACAATGACGTTGTCTTGGGTGAACATCTCTAATCGATTGTAAATGGGACTATTGCTAAAAAAAATTGTTTGAGTAGTGCGCATTTTTTGCATTTATTGTCTATATCTATATAAAGTTAGAGAATTATGGAAAATGAACTCAGTAAAATTGTTTCTTACGTACACACACCGACCCGCTCTAGTTTTGTATTTGAAAAGTGGTTGTCTCCAGGTTTTATGAGGTTTTGCCTATTACTGTTTCTTTTAAACGCCACGTATCTACTTCTAGAGTTAACGAATCGCATGCTGAATACTTACGCCATACTTATTTCACATTAAAGCATTTCGGTGTCATATCATTTCCCCTAGTTCCAAATGTTTAATATGCATCGAAAATTTTTGAAAAGGTAATTTCCCAGGAAATTTGTTTGGTAAATTTTTTTATGTTCTGGTTTTCTTTAAAATTTGATTCAAATTTTACAGCCATTAATAATTAATGGAAACACTGCTATCTCTGTGTGTTGAATGTACGCGCCTTACGCTATACGCACACCAATACTGCAAGTTCATTTAAATGGTATTTTTAACCAATGGCGAATTTTACTCGCACTGCAGTGAAAGTTGACACCCCCAAAACGGACGACATAGTAGATGCGTTGGACTAACACAGGTGTTAATTCGAGGTACAGTTGATACTATTGGGTATACGTATCAATAACAGATGCCGCAAATGAGGAGAGGCTGTCACGTTACCCCTAGGTTTAGGTTCCCGCTGCGCCAGCCACTTGCATCCTCCCACACCTGGCTTTCTCGACTCTCTTTACACCAAGCCCAGGAGAGACTGTGGCGGACGCTGCTCAGTGCTATTGCTACTTAAGTAGTGTGCATTTGTTGGTATTGATTGCCAATGCCCATATGAATTAAATCATATTTTATTGAAATTCATTTCTGCGTCCAATCCTTTTTTTTCGGCAAGATTGATTATAGAGGTCGCAAGAATCCCGTCGACTTATAATAAAAAAAACTACCTTCAAATGTTCGGTAGCCTGACTTAACATTTTTCGTTAAATTCCACCAATAAGAGGACGAATGTCCATTTTCGCTTAATTCCGCCTACACAACCTCAACTTTCCCTCGATTAGCATTCGTATCCTACGCAATAGAAGTTTATGTTGATTGAATTTGATTCTTTATTTAGCAAATATGATCTTATTTAATTTTTTCATCAATTCCGTCACAATTACATATCAATTTACGCTCACAAGCCAATAATTAAATGTTTGACCACAAAATACTTAAAGCAGTTAGGCGGCGGGGATAGATATCTAAAAGGGCCTTACAAATCAATTTTGTCCTTTTTTCTAATTCTTAACTCTTAAAATCGTCCGAAACTCTTCCCTTCTGTAAAAAAGGATTAAATCGGCGTACTTGATTAGATAATTGGTTTCAGGAAACATTTTTATTCTCTAGCTTTCTATAAGATTTTTATTTCGTTTGACCGATTTGTAAAAGCTGCAGGATTTCCTAAGCAATCAATCTAGAATCCACTAGATGACTACTAGGTTCACTTAGGAGGAGTTTGGCAAATTTCACTAACTCACTTGACCCAATTGAAAAATATTCGGCGGGGTTGGGATTCGAACCCACGCCGGTAAGAGAAGGGTGTAAATTTAATCACACTTCGGTCGATTTACACGTGCAGCCTAGGGCAACGTATAAAATCTACCAATTCGGATACAGTAAACTGACTTCCCAAACAGGCTTTTCTATGCAAATTCAATTATTTAATTTACACAAGTAGACTAGTGTTGTAAGTTGTCTTCAATACTATTTCTTATCGGAAGTGAATCTCATTTAAACTCTTATGACAATCTACACTCCTAAACGGACCGCGTGGTAAATGCGCTAGACCAGCATAAGGGCTAGATCTAGGCACGACAAACGTTATTGGGGATGCGTCCCCAATAATATGCTCCGAAAATGAGGAAGTGTGTGGCTGCACGCCTAGGCGCGGGTTCCCGCCGCGGCAGCCACCTGCACCCTTTCCTAGCATCGTTCTTCTTGACTCTCTGTCTTTACACCAAACCCAGGAGATGGGAATGCAGTAGATGCCACGCAAGTCACCGTGTCTTTTCCAACTTTGCTGTAGGGGCGCAAGATAGTTTCGGCAACGACTTCGAGTTGTATGTCCTTCCTTCCTCCTCATTTGCTCTTTTACTGTTAAACTCACATTTCTCATCATCTTCTCCCCTCCATTCTTCCTCGTTTCATTTATCCTTCTACCTTTTACAAGTTTTGCACCATCTCTATGCCGTTTGTAACCTCCAAATGTCCGTCAATGTGGCTTGATCTCCGAACAGCAATACTTAGCAGTAAATTCGAAACACAAAACAGGAATTTCACACTTCGGTCCTCGTTCGAATGCTGTCGCATTCATTGACGTTTTCCTCTTCCTCTTCAGCCAACATTGCGTGTTTGCAGTTTACTAACCTTTTTTTTTTATCTCTTTCCAATTCTCAGTACAACAAAAAATCTGGCAAGATCATCGTCTTCTTTGCCACCCAAGACTGCGTCGATTTCCACTATCGGTTATTCAGTGAAGCCCTCTCTGACTCTAACGAGGACACGCCATCCAACCTCCACTTCTTCCGCCTTCACGGCAATATGGATCACAAGGTGGGTTGCTAACCTTCTCCGATTTTTCTTCGAGCAAGGAAGAAGGAAATTCCTTGCACACTTTAATTTTGTGTTTACCGGTGTGAGCTTTTGGAATCGTCTGACGTCGGAAATTTCAGTGGCGGGCGGTAGTTGTGTACCGTTTTGGCCAATGAACGACTAACTTTAGAGGTCTGTTGATTAATTGTCGTTGTAGGCGGTATCGAGGCTTATATACCGATTGATATCCAAGTTTCACTTCTTTCAGAGTTTTTCTTGTTCCTAACCCCACCATCTATCCTCGATTGCGTAGTTGAAGACATGACTTGTTTCAGGGTAGGTAGGCACCGGTGTGACGACTTTTACAGCTCCGATAAATAAACACTAGATTCCAATGTTCACTTAATTTCCTCTTTGCTCTAGTAACAACTCACTGCCCGAATATTCGCCCCTAACCTTTTATCCTCTTGGTGTGGTACACACGGTTGACCGAGGCCCTCCCCCGCTCCATTTCTGTTGAAATTTTAGCGTGCAGTCTAACCAAACTGCTGGCCCTGACCGGACATTTTCCCTGTTTGCCGTGCAGTCTGTTTCGGTAACAAGGGCATCAACACGAAATTTGAGGGTTTTCACCTAAAAAATCTCCACAGAAAAGACATAAAGAGTGCCAAGCTCCACACTTTGTCACCTGACCTGCCACCTTTTACCCTGCCTTACGTTGTTGATTCGACCTCGGGTAAAACATACTGAAGTCACAATTATTCTTTATTAGGCGGTTTGGCAGATTTGCTTAGACCTCCTAATAATTAAGTCAGCCTAGTAGTCATTCTGGTGAATTCTAGATGAATGCTTAAGAAATCCTGCTTTGGCAGTCAGCTTACTGTTCCGTAATGGTGGATTCCATACGGGCGGTAAAGTTGGGCGGGTAATATCGACCCAAGTGTGATTAAATTCATGGCGCAGGTAAAGTTGGGCGGGTAATATCGACCCAAGTGTGATTAAATTCATGGCGCGTGGCGGGGCGTTTGAAGCTTAGCGGC